GTTGATTTCTCCCTGGGGTTTTGGACAACCTTGCTCCTTTGTGTGTGTCTCCTCAGACACTGCACTTGGTTGTAAAACATCCAGCAAAGGAAGCAAGTGTGATTTTGGTGTCAGTGTGTAGCCTGCCACCTCCTCCTTGCAATCCTTTTTTTTTTTTCCTCCCCCCACTTCTGTCTTCCTTGATCTAAAATAAAACCCACTTAACAGCATCAATCTGTGAAAAAAAACCCAACAAAACAACCCACAAGGTGCTGGGAGTACTCCAGCTGGTGTTTTTTTCCCATATATATATATATATATATATTATATGTATATATATATATATACAGAAAAGGTTAGGCTGTGATAGTTGAAATACTGTGTAGCTGAGGCAGTGTGAAAATTCAGTCTTTAAGTCCTTAAACATGTTTTTCCCGGTCTAAGTGGGACCTATCAGGGCATGTCTGTGATGATATCTCTATTGAATTTCATTAAAGGTTATAGGGAGGCAATTGCAGGAGACGTCAGAATACAAATCACTCACTGATTATGTGATAGCATTTCCCAGTGCAAAAAGAGTGAGGAATGAGACACACTCCTTGGAACAATGACCCTTTTCATCGTTGCTGCATTGGGGCTGTGACAGATGAACAAGGTCTTCTCCATTAGTAGCTTGTGGCAGATCATGCCAGGGAGAGCGGCCAGTTGACCGTAAGTATGTGTAAATGAGTAAAGTTTCTTAGTGCTTCTTCTTAATTGACCCAAAGGAAGTCAGAAATTGAGCTGGGCCAATTAATTTTTAACTGATTTTTTTCATGCTGAAAAATATATAGAGCTTTTGAGTTGACTAAAACTTCAGGGACTGGGTCTAGCTGGATGAATGGCTCATACCCACTGAAAAAGAGAAAGTGGAAAAGTTTTATTAAGGCTATTTCAGTGGAAATATTTGGACTGTTCATTACAAAACAATGTTTGGATGAAAATGAGGTGTTAATGGTTTCGGTTTTAATTTCAAGTTTTGAGGCCTGTTTTAAGTAAAAGCAAAATGTAACCAATTAAAATGCTAGACTGACTCCTTCCATCCAAAATTTGCATTGAGATTTTTGGGGCATGAAAAATAATCTGAAATTTGGTCTTCTAGTTAGACTTTAGAAATCCGTGATCTTCCACTCTGGCCATCTAAATTAAAAATTCAATTAATTATTCACATGGAATAGTCTCAAACTTGCTCTTTAATTTTGCTAAGGAACATGTCTCACTTCTAGGTGGCTGTGGATAACCCTAGAATCAAGGTCCAGAAGATCTCTGCTTCAAACAGATTATAGAATCATAGAATGGTTTGGATTGGAAGGGACCTTAAAGATCATCCAGTTCCAACCCCCCTGCCATCAGCAGGGACACCTTCCACTAGACCACGTTGCTCAAAGCCTCATCCAGCCTGGCCTTCAACACTTCCAGGGAGGGGGCATCCACAACTTCCTTGGGCAACCTGTTCCAGTGTCTGACCACCCTCACAGTGAAGAACTTCTTCCTAATATCTCATCTAACCCTCCCCTTTTTCAGCTTAACCCCATTTCCCCTTGTTCTGTCATTAACTGCCCTTATGAAAAGTCCTTCCCCAGCTTTCTTGTAGCCCCTTCAGGTACTGGAAGGTGCTATAAGATCTCCCCAGAGCCTTCTCTTCTCCAGGCTGAACAACCCCAAAAGATGGAGCAGCAGCCTCTGGTGCTCTAGATAGAAATACCACAGCCTTGATTTGGTGGTCCACACATGTGGTCACATTAAAGGGTATTTTCAGGATGAACCCCAGAAGCATCAACCTTGATTGCCACCAGCCTTTCTCTGCAGGCAGTGCAGGTCATCTAGGAAAGGGGACGTGGCTCTAGGCCACTTCTATGAGGAGAGCAACAGGCATTTGAGGGTGTGAATCATCTCACTGCAGACAGTTGAGACCTGGACTCTCCCTTCTGGGAATTTTGAGGTGGGAGCAGTGACCTGTCCTCATGTTTCCCCAGGCCCACCCAACCTTTGGATGACTTGGGGTTTTTTAAACAAAGTTCAGCAAAAGTCAGACATCCTTCTATTTATTTTTCTTCCTTAGCCTGACATATTTTTAAGTGCCTGGACCCACTTTTGAGTCAGTGGCTGACTAACAAGATGACACCTAGCATAAAAGAGTGATTTTTGGGTTTTTTTGTTTTCTTTCCCACACATTTTTGTCCAAATACGTAAAAAGTGCTCCCACCTTAATTTCTTTCCACCTCCTCCAGACTGCAAGGTGGAGAAATTGCTATTGGAGCTGTGGGGGTGTCCTAGTGATGTGTGTGGATAGAAAAAACTTGACTGGAAACCTTGTACACCAGTAAACCTTCTACACAGCAGACTGGTGCCTCCCCAACTACTCTCCAGGTAGAACTGGAACCACTGAACACAGTGAGAGACCAGAGGCAGAAATCAATACATTCATAATTTTATAATTAAAAAATTGTGCATTTCAACAAACAGCTGGCAGTTATAACCATCCTCCATCCCACTTAATGCAGAAAATACATGTCTGGAACTCAGACATCTGATATTTCTAATGCCACGTATAATGACCTCCTAAGACTGTGCTTGTATTAACCTCCTGCACTCAGCTACCAGACAAGAGCCCAAATGCAGGTGCACCCTATGGTTGACTCTAGCTGATCCTAGAGAGAACCAGTCCCCCTCTTCCAAGGCATTATTTTCACTGAAAAGTCATCATTGCTATTTTTTAATCGAAAATGCTTCTGAAAATCAACATGTAGAACATGAATTGATTTTTTTTTTAATTAAAAAAGTAAACAAAGAAGAATTTCTATGAGATTTTTTTTTCTTTTTCAAGATGTCCATGAAGAAATAAGGTTATTTCTCTACTAGTAAACTAAATGACATCGTGGCTGGTTGTCTTGTCCAGAGGCCAGATGACAGTCTGACCACAACCCAATTAAACCTTCACCACCTGGGCAGCACAAGATTCAACACCCAGGCATAGCACTGATTAACTTACTGGTATAGACAGAGCTCCAGTGCCCCAGCTACCTCCTTCCTTAGCAGAAAGAAATGATACTCAGTGAGCTTTGAAGTGGAGGGGGAGGCATCACCAAGGGGTTATGTAGTATGGGAGACAGAGGTCTGAACTCAGCTCCAGAGTCCCCTGTCGATCCCCAGCCCCATGTGACTATGAGTCAATTCATGATGTTAACTTGTTCCTCCCATGGAGAACTATGGAGGCAGATAATTTGTCTTCTCTGCATCGACCTAAGCTCTCTGTGAAAACCTCAAGTCTTGAAGCCTCATCACATCTTCCCAGACGTGGTGGAGTCTCATCGGATTCTGGTTCACGTCACGTTTAGGAACAAAGACACAGGTCCACCACTCAACCTCTTGAAAGAGGTGTCCTACGGGCTCACGTGCACACACACAACAACTTATGCAAACACACACTCACACTCACAGCTTACAGACACGGTCAGGTACAGGCACGTCAGCACAGCCACACAGCTTTCAGCTCAGCACTGGCTTGCATCTCCTGCTTGTCCCCAGGGCTTGGGCTGGTGCTGTGTGGACACAGTCATGTTCATTCAGCTGCAGATCTCTCTGCTTGGGCACATGGTGGGGAGCAAAGATGGGCTGGGGAGATATGTTGAGAGATTGTAGCACTCTGACATGGTCAGGAGAGGTGTTGGCACAGAAGGGAGAACCTATAGGTATCCACAATCCCTCTAGACACCTCTGGCCTTGGGTACCAGGTGTCCCAAGATTGCCGTGGCTAGATCTCTTGTGTCCCTGCCTTTGTTGGGCTACACCATGGGTGTCTCTGCCCTCCATGCCACATACAGGTAGGTGTGCAGCTGTGTGCACTGAAAGGCAAGAAAATATAACATCCATCTTATATACTGCCAAGCAGGGACACAATCCCACATGTTGGCTGCAGGTCCAAAGCCCATCACAGCAATATTTTCTCCATTTAATTTCATAATCACACTTCATGTTCATTATATAAAAGTCCCTTTTCTCCTCTTGGAAGTTCCCATCTCTGATAGATATGTGTTGCTACAGAGGATCCAGAATTTGCTGGTGCTACTGTTGGGGGAATGTCAGCTTGGGGGTGATTTTTCTGATATGAGATGTCTTGGGTGTAAAAATTCCATCCTTTACCTTACTGATTGTGGGAGTAACCACACAGTGTCTTGTGGACACTGCTGACAACAAGATCAGAAACACATATTGCTCTGGGTATAACTTCTAGGGCACACAGGTGACTTCTGGCCAGCTGGATTATCTATATAAATGTGTCCATGAACTGTCCATCATCTATACCACAGGCAAAATTAAGCTAGAGTACACTGGACTCAACAGGGCAAGTCAATAAACACATCTTCTCATCACTTCTTGGGGCTGCATACCATTTAACTCATGGCCTCTCACCTCCTGGGAGTGCTCCTTTCCTCTGGAAACCAGCTTCCCATCTGAAATAGCCCCATGGACCCTGTGCTTGGACCAGCAGAGGATTGATGCTCAAGGAAACATCCATGGAGGAGAATGACTTCTTTTCTGAAGAGGTGGCTCTAGCCTGGGAGGAGGTAAAGGAGAAGGAAAAGGGATTTTGCTTCACTTTGTGGCTGATCTTTGACCCTGACCTTTGATGTTTGTGTACAACCAACCACACTGGAGCTGCATTCTCTTAGTTACTGTGGGGGGAAGAGAAGGAGAAGGGACTTTGCAAAGGAGCAGGTGAAGTGCACATGTTGGATTCAGATGCTCTCCATGCTTCCTCCATGCATGTCCTGCCTTCTTGATGAGTATTTCTGTGCCATATCATTGCCCAGATCTGTTGCTCTGCCCTGCCACCAAGACCAGCTGTGGGTTCCCCATTTGCTCCTGTTCCCTCTGCTCCTCGTTGGCCTCTTTTTGCCCAGTCATCAGGTGGAGAGAGCCCTGGTGCTGCCCAGTCCTCTCTCTCTTTTTCCCTCATCCTTCCCTCTTCTTCCCCCACTTCAACACAACGAGAACCGTCGGGAATTGATGTTCATCTTGGTGACTCCGATGAGCTTGAGTGGAGTGGAAAGGCTGAAGGAGCTCACGAGGGGGAAGTCACAGAAGAGGTCAGAGAGCTCATCCCTCTCCTCCAGCTCATACGTGGCATCATTGAGCATGCGCTGGTGCAGGTGGCAGGTCTGCTCAATCTTCAGCTTGTTGATGTCGCTGCGGAGGCGCATGAGCTGCCTCGCCAGTTGCTGGTCCTGCAGGCGCATTTCTGCCTGAAACACAAGACAGAGGGTGGGGAGAGAAAAGGGTATTGGCAAGGGCACAACAAATTTGCTCATCATGCTCCTCCTTGTTCATGGGACGTGTAACTCAACTAGAGATACTACCCTACTGCAAAGAACAGGAAGGGAAGCAAGAATCTTCCAAACCAACAATGCATCCCAGTCAAATGCCGCTCAGGATGGTGAATTTTCATTCAGGAAGTCTGTGCCTGCTCAGGTTTTCAGAAGCACCAGGAAAATGAAATTAAAGTCAGCCATGCCCAGGCTGTTGGCTTAGGTATCCATCAGCAAGGCTTCAGAGCCTCCATCTCAACCTTAAGCAAAGAACAAATTAATTTTGCTCATAAGGGAGCAGCCGCAGCGAGAAGTAGCAATTAGAGGTGGAAAGGACCAATTAAAAGAACCCCAGAGAACTGATCCCTAAATACTTGGCCTGAGGTTCCAGTTTACATAAATCAGAGCTGGTTCACAACAGCCAGAAACGTGGCCCTCCACATCCCCCATGGCTTATCTTGCTGATTTGGATTGGCTCTTGGGATGGGACCTCTGTAGTTCCCACAGGAGAAAGAGCAACTACCCCACAGGCTAATGGGAGAAGTATTTTCACAGAACCACAGAATCAGAGAATTGCTTGACTGGAAAAGCCCTTTAAGATCATCGAGTCCAACCATGAACCCAACACTGACAAGTCCCCGACTAACCCATGTCCCTCAGCACTATGTCTACACGACTCTTCAATCTCTCCAGGGATGGGGACTTCACCACTGCCCTGGGCAACCTTTTCCAATGCCTCAGAACCCTTTCAGCAAAGAAATTCTTCCTCACATCCCATCTCAACTGCCCTGGGCACAACTTGAGGCCATTTCCTCTTGTCCTGTCACCTGTTCCTTGGTTGCACAGACCCACCCCCACCTCTCTCCACCCTCCTTTCAGGGCGTTGTAGAGAATGAGAAGGTCTCCCCTCAGCCTCCTTTTCTCCAGGCTAAACAACCCCTCCCATCTGGAAGGGTTTTTTCCTCCCCTGGCACCTCACGCTGGAAAATGAAAGATTCAGAAGTGATGAAAGAAAAAAGCTTTTTTTTTTTTTATTCTTAAATTCCAACTTCTAATTAAGTAAAAAAAAAAAATATTGCCACAGGATATGGAAGGTGGCGAAGGAAGGAGGTGAACACTTGGTGCAAAAATCAGCCTTTGTCTGGGGAACAAAAGCAGGCAGAGCTAGAATAGCAGATGCCAAGAAGACAATCCCCATGTCTCACCCCACATCACTCTCCACAGAAAAAGTGACAAACCACAAAAGCCGCAAAGAAAAGAGAGTTGTGGGGGAGAAGCTGAACAGCTCTCAGCAAACTTTACAGCTTAAATGTCTCTATCAGTGCTGGAGACAAGAAGGGAGCAAAACTGGCTGGAAAACAGTCCTACATCTGCCCCAATCATAGAATCATAGAATGGTTTGGGTTGGAAGGGACCTTAAAGACCACCCAGTTCCAACCCCCCTGCCATCAGCAGGGACACCTTCCACTAGACCAGGTTGCTCAAAGCCTCATCCAGCCTGGCCTTCAACACTTCCAGGGAGGGGGCATCCACAACTTCCTTGGGCAACCTGGGACAGTGATGTCCTGTGATGTTCTGTCTGTTTTCCTGGTGTTGCTTCCATCACAGGACATGAACTGGCGTTGGAAGGAGTCCCTTGGCACCATGGCTCTTGATTTTGGTTTGTTTTGGGTTTTTTTGGTTTTTTACTCCTAATGGCTCCCTGGGTAAGTCTTCTCCTCACCAACTTCTCAGTGCACAAGATGACGTCTTGAGCTCATTGCCAGCTGCACCATGGTGCTGCCCTGACCCCAGTCCCATCCTTTGCCTTGCTCCTTTGATTTGCATCACTGTTTTCTTGGCTCCCCATGGTCTAAAAGAGCTCAGAATCAGACCCAGACCACATCTACAGCAATACACTAAATAACACATTGCAACAAAGCCTCTCCACTTGTTTGTGAGTGAGTTCCTGTCATCCTTTGAGTTGATGACTCCATCTATCCTCTCATCTTTGAGAGCTAGACAGCTTTCACAGTCCTAAGCAATTCCCCATGGGCACTCTTCAGGAGTTAACACAGAAGGATTCATCCTCAGTAGGCATTTGGGATACAAACATCTAATTTGGATTTTAACAGGATGACGTGGCAATGAGCCCTTGTGGCCAAGAAGGCCAATGGTCTCCTGGGGGATATTCAGAAGAATGTGACCTTCCCTCCCCCAGATTGAGGAAGGTTCTTCTCCTCTGCCCTGCCCTGGTGAGGCCACATCCGGAGTATTGTGACCAGTTCTGGGCTCCCCAATTCAAGACAGAGATGGAACTTCTGGAGAGAGTCCAGTGGAGGCTACAAAGATGATTAAGGGGCTGGAGCATTTTTCTTAAAAGGAAAGATCTGTTTATCCTGGAGAAGAGCAGACTGAGAGGGGATCTTATCAATGTTTATAAATATCTAAAGGGCTGGTGGCAAGAGGATGGGACCAGACTATTCTCAGTGGTGGCCAGAGACAGGACAAGGGACAACAGGCACAATCTGGAACACAAGAAGTTTCATCTGAAGAGGAGGAAAAACTTCTTTCCTGTGAGGGTTCCAGAGCCCTGGGACAGGCTGCCCAGAGAGGGTGTGGAGTCTCCATCTCTGGAGATGTTCAAAACCCACCTGGACACTTTCCTGTGCAACCTGGTGTAGGTTTTTTTTTTTGTCAGGGGGGTTGGACTGGATGATCTCCAGAGGTCCCTTCCAACCCCCACCAGACTGTGATTCTGTGAAACCAAGTCAGTTTGTCTCCAGGCCTGAAAGTGAACTGTTCAGTTTACAAGTACGGATGTAGCTCTGGGGGTGAGGGGTGAATTTATTCCTAGTCTGGTGCCTCGTACATGAAACTGAAGAACGGAATGGAGGAGGGAAAATTCCCCTTGGAAAGGTCCACAGGTGGACCTGGAATTTCTACATGGGACCTTTCTGATACCTGATGCTACTGCAACAAGGCTGTCAAGCAGACGCAACCTCAGGGTTGCTCTAGCTTGTGACACAATCCCTCCTCCTCCAGCCAATGCCTACAAAGATGTTGGGATTGTCCCTCACAGCATTGCTGTGCTCAGAGCAAGGTGAAGCATCCAGCTTAGGAGGTTGAAGGACTCGGAGGAAAACCTGGCTCTGCTCCAGCTCTTTTCTGCAGCTGTCAGGAAGCCCTTTACAATGCTGTGCTCAGAGCCTAAGTTTAGAGCTGACATGAGTATAAGGAAGGTTAATCCAAGCCAAGCAAGGCTTTTCACACTCCTGCACCGTGGAGGCACCTGGAGGACCTTGCCTGGTCCTCTCAGCCAGAAATTGGACTCCAGTTTGGTTGCCTGGAGAGGTATAAATCCCAGAATCAATCTCTCTCTCTCTCTCTCTCATGAAATCTGAGCAACCTGGTCTAGTGGAAGGTGTCCCTGCTGATGGCAGAGGGGTTGGAACTGGATGAGCTTTAAGGTCCCTTCCAACCCAAACCATTCTATGATTCTATGATTAAATCTGGCCATTTACCTTCCTCAAAAAACCCACTATTACCTCGCAGACCTCGTAGCCTGTGCCACCAGCATAGTAATGTCACTCAACAGGTTTTTCTTCTCCCACATGAGTGACAATGAAAAAAAAACCTCATCATTTTGTTGATATTTTTCCCTGTTTCACAACAAATGCTGCAACTTGACATTTTATCAGGAAGGCGATCGTGGGCATTATTGAACTGACCCTTGGCCATTCTTTCTTGTCAGTTTATCAAGCTACATAAGAAATGTCAGCCAGTGCTTTGATTAAATGCTTTGAGGAATGTGGGATTAAAAAAAAACCCAAACAACCAAACAAACCCAAAACCAACCAAAAGCAAACTAAAGAAACCATGAAAAGGGGTTTAAAAATGAATTACAAGGCCATTGTGGAGAGGGATGTGAGTTGGAGATCACTGTTTTTCTCTTGCAAGCCACCTTTCCACTTTTTGACTAGTTCCTGCTTTCCCTGTTTTTTGAGGAAGATGTCTTGGTTTTGGTCAAGTTGGCAAACAAAGCCCTCCAGGACATGTCCTTCAGGTGCTCAATTTCCACTCACCCTTCCTTACTCCCACTGGACCTGGTGGCCCTGGCTTTCACCAAATCAGCCTCTTCTTGCAGCCATGTGACCTTCAGGGTGAGGGACAACATGGCACAGGGCAAAATCACCACCCATCTACATTGATCACCTCAGCTGTGACACTATTTTAGACACAGCCCTGCCTGGCTGAGCTCTGGGGTTGAACAGGGAAGCAAAGGTGACTTGTCAGAGGTTCACCATCAGCCAACGCTTTCCCAGGGGGACAAATCATAGAATCATGGAATGGTTTGGGTTGGAAGGGACCTTAAAGATCATCCAGTTCCAACTCCCCTGCTGTGGACAGGGTTGCCAACCACTACATCAGGCTACCCAGAGCCCCATCCAACCTGGCCTTGAATGCCTTCAGGGATGGGGCATCCACAGCTTTTCTGGGCAACCTGTTCCAGTGCCTCACCACCCTCTGGGTGAAAAATTTCCTCCTAATATCCAAGCTAAATCTCCCCTCTCTTAGTTTAAAACCATTTCCCCTTGGCCTATTACTTCTGTCCTCCAAGAAAGAAAGGTAGACGAGTGAAGAACAAAGCCTGGCAATGGTTAACTAACAAGTGATGTATACAATGAGGAGATGGCACAGGGGATGAGAGCTGTCACCACTTGTGCCCTTTTGGAGGCCCCTTTGGCTTCTTGAGGGCTCAGGTGTGCCTTGCATGGAGATAGGTCCCATGGAGGCAGGTCGATGGGGTGATGGCTGGGTGGGGAGCAGAGCACTGAGTGCACATCGTGGGTAGGAAGAGTGGGCTGCTCTGCAGGGCAGGGGCTCTCTCTGTCCTCCTGCTCATCACCAAGGCTTGCCTTGATACACAGATACCCTGTCCTCTCTCTGTGGGCATG